GATACAAAACCAGCAGGGCTGGGAATCTGGGTGTAACCGTTATGGTAACCGGTAAGCTCATGCTTATCAGTTAAGCCATTTGAACGGTTATACTGTTACATCCCCATTATAAGCATTGGGCAAAGCATCCTCACTTATTCGTATTACCCGATTATCAATAGCAAAGAAAGAGCTGTGCGAGTTATCATGTATCTCTAAGCATCCCAAAACCAGCAGGGCTGGGAATCTGGGTGTAACCGTTATGGTAACCGGTAAGCTCATGCTTATCAGTTAAGCCATTTGAACGGTTATACTGTTACATCCCCATTATAAGCATTGGGCAAAGCATCCTCACTTATTCGTATTACCCGATTATCAATAGCAAAGAAAGAGCTGTGCGAGTTATCATGTATCTCTAAGCATCCCAAGAACATAAAACCTAGCCATGTGCATGAATCTGGCAGCCTGGCACCACACCAGTTTTCAGGGGCCCTACATGCCCCATTTCGACTTCTTGGCTGCCCCAGACTCTGCCCAGGAGGAGGGCGAGACAAAAGCCCTCAGGACCACCCTCAGGACTGCCTGCTTGTTGGCATGTCCAGAAACAGATCTGCCAGGGTGAGGGGAAGGGACAGGGCCTAGCTGGATGCCGTACAGCCTTCTGTGGCTCCCAGAAAGGCCCCGGACATCAGCGGGCGCTCTTGGGGGAGGCTACGGAGGGGCGTCAGGCAGCCGAGCCATGGCAGGATGTGCCATGTGCTTGAGTGGCAAGCAGCAGTCGCCGGGGAGAGAGGAACACTGGGGGATACTGTGGGATGGGGGGCTGAGAGAGAAGAGGCGTCTCTGGCTCCTTTCACGGAGGAGCTGAACGGCACGGCCCTAGCAGGGATGTACAAGGCATTGGAAAACGTAGCCGGGTAACCGCTTAAGACCCTAGCGGTGACGCGCGCTGCGGGCTCGGAGCAGAAAGATTAATTTATACGGGCGGGTAAATGAAGCAGGCTTTATACTGCAGAGGAGGGGGACAGAGCCCCAACCAGCAAGCCACTCACAGCCCTGCCCTCGAGTGCCCCGGGACAGCCGAGCGAGCAGCAGCCCTGCCTTCAGGACACGGCAAAACCATTTCCTTGCCTCTTGAGCAGAGCCGTTTCACTGCTAAATCACAGGCGGGATTAGAGTTCAGGGAAGCGCCAAGCCACTTAAAGCACCCTTAGGGAAGCCCCCGCCAGGGCTACGTTTTTAAATGAACACGCACACGCGGGTACCCACGCCGCCCTGGGAACAGCAGGACCAAACAGGCCAGCAGAGACTGGGCACGACTCGGCTGAGTGTTCGCAAATGCGGCTCAAGCCTGGCTCCAAGTGACAACCCATCGGGGTCCGAGCTCCAGCGTGCAGGCCCTGCGAGGAGGGGCAATTCTTCCCCTGTGCTTGAAGCCAGCCCGAACGGCTGCATTCTCCCGGCTGATGCTGGAAGTAGCTTGATGGCCGTCATTAAAAACCAGCACAGAAGTCTAAGAAGCTGATTATAGCTACTGGCAGCGCAGGGCCTGGGTGGTCTTCCTTAGAAAATGACTGGCTAGACTGTGGGTTGCTCACAAAACCACAAAATCGAGCCACCCTCCAGTAAGAGGAAAGTTCTGGGCTGTGGCTAATGAAAGACAGGGAGCTACGAGTAAGCACAACAGGCCTGCAGCACATGGAGTACTGCAAGATGCACCACTGCCTGAAAGACACCTGGCTCTCAATGAGCAAGCGAGCGGCAAAGGTTTCCCCGTGGACGCTGAATTCTCTCTCTGTGAACAGATTTATGCAGCTGGGTTTCTGAACAGAGCTGCCGACTGCGTGCATCCGTACAGACACGCACCCGTATACAGATTTTGCAAAAACCACCAATGCAGTCGTACAATATGCATCTGCTGCTAGTCAGTGGGGGAACGGTTGGAAAGAATCCACTAAGCTGCTTGAGATCCTGCTGCCTCCGTGACCTATGAAGTCTGGAGGCAGGCGATGGCAGTACATGGAGCTCCACGGATATTGCTTGCATCCGGGGGAGCTCTCGGTTTGAAAATTTCTTACTCGTCTTGGGCCCGCCTCTCTCTTTGTGCACAACATGCAACCGTTCAGAACCCAAGCAGCACAAACAAAAATGTGGCTTCTTTCCTAGCCTTTGGAGCGGGGTGGGCAAATCAGCCCCCCCGCCCAAGCATTTCTCTCCGGCCTGCACAGCTGATTAGCAGAGCGTGCATACCTGCTGCCCACAGCATGTTTTCAGCTGCCCCTCTTCCCACCTTGCTCTGCCCTGCAGCCGGGCTGCTCCCAGGACTTCCCTGTGACCTGGG